TTACTGGCATAACTCGGTAAAGGACCCCCTAAAATCACACAATTTGTAAGTGCCTAGGATGATCTAAAGCCGCAGGCTTCCCTTCTTTTCCCCAAATATGCCCCAAGCTATCTGCCCCAGGTCCTTTGCACATACTCCTCTGCCGGGTAGAAACTCTTTGTGTGCATCCCTCAATGCCCATCTCAAAGGCTCCTCCCCTGCACCTTCCAGGTCAACCCTTCTCTTGCTTTGCATCCACACCCTGCCACACCACAGTACCCAGCTTTATGCCCTCCCTGGCATCCAGCCTTGCCTGCACATTAATTATGCTTTCCTTTACTGGTTTGTGGCCTGCTATCCCCAACACAATGAATCCTCCCTACAGGCTGCACCTTGTTCCTCTCACCTTAGCCCTGGGCCAGAAGCTGCACCGCCTCACTGCTCCACCAAGGTGTGGCAAGTGGCAAGTGACCCAGTCCATGCCCACAGGGCAGCCGGCACCTCCTGCCCTCTAGAACCTTCCTGGATGGGGGGGCTTTGTTGGCTTCCCAGCTTCCTGATGGCCTGGGAACTCCAGTGTGTGCCTCTGTCTGCAGTGCTGTCCTCTGTGTGCGTCTGTGTCCCCACGAGGCCATTGCCTCTCTTAATCTCTTCCAGTCTGAGAGAAAAGGGCCCACTGAATGACCTCAATCACTTCCAGAAGGTCACACTCACGGTCAGCAGATGTCTTGGTTACTTTTTCGTCACTGAGACACAATACCCGATGCCCGAACATTAGAGGAGGAGAGGTTTACTGCGGGTTATGTTGCAGTCCATAGTGAGCTGGCTCCAGGGAGACATGGGGCTTGGGGAGCAGAGAGCAAAGGGAGCAGTTGGGAAGGGAGACAGAGCCCCTCCAGGCCACCGTGACTCCCTCTTCCCCCAGACCCCACTCCTAAGTGCAAGTCAGCTTTAAGCCCCCGTCATCCGATTCCCTTCCCATGTGAGTATCGGAGGCTCACAGGGGACCTCTGGGTCTCGGCCATGGCAGCAGGGGACACCATTCATTCGGCAGAAGCGACCCAGGAAATACAGAAAACAGGCATTTAGGTGAAACGAATGCCAGCACGCCTGTGGTGGAGAAAGAACCGTGCTGTTGCTGGTGGGAATGTAAACTGGTACAACCACCGTGAAACTCACTGAAATCAGAGATTCCGTAGGACCCAGCTATCTGCCGCCTTGGTATCTTCCCCAAAGAGTTGAAGACATCATACTACAGCGACCCAAGCATAGAAATGTCTACAGAGCATGATTTATAACAGCTAAAGCCTAGAAGCTGCAGCCTCTACCCCCACCGACAGACTGGATGAAGAAAATGTGATACATACACACATACATATATATACACATACAAATCAGCTATAAAGCATGACAGATTTGAATCATTTGTGGGAAAATAGGTGCCCCTGGAAAATACAATTTTGACTGAAGTAAGCCAGACACAGGCTCGCATACCACGCGTTATCTCTCATTTGAGGCCAAGCACAAAGAGGACAGAGGATGGATAGAAGCGGACAAGGGCATAGAGCTCTTGCAGTAGGGCAGGGGTCCAAGGAAACCAGGGCGAGGGGTGAGGAGCAGTAGAATAAAGATGTGCCGTGTACAGGAACCTAGTAACCCCAACGAGGACAGACATTCCGTGCCGTAACATGAGCTAAGATGAACAACAGCAAGAATGAAAATCGAGACGAGGAAGTGGCAGAGGGCAGAGGGAGAGGGAAGGGAAGGGGATTAAACAAAGGAAAGAAGCCGTGGTCCGAGCCTGCACCCACTCCCCAAGGTGACTGGAAACGGCACCTACCGCGCACGCGTACTGATACGTGTTTAAAAGTGTGCTTTTTTTTTAAGCACAAAGAAAAAAATCAAACAAGAATTCAGGCAGGAGATGGGGAAGGAAACACGAAGCGCAGCAGTGTGAGTGCGGGAAGTGGGCACGGTTCACACGTCCGGACGAACACCAGGGCTTCTGCCGAACACAACTATCAAGGTTTCTGCAACGGCGGTTGCTGCCCCACCAGACCCACTCCCAGGGTGTGCATATGTCATTTCTGGACCCTGTAAATTATGTTATCACACTGCATTTGGGCTTCTGTGAAACGCCAGTGCAGGCATTTGGTCGCTTCTTACAAATCTTTTCGCTTGCTACATGTGGATGCCTCCCTGGAGGAAGTTCTATTATTGATTGACTTTTACATGAAAAATTGAGGTTTGGACAAACGAGAACCAGCTTGCAACTTCTTCGCATGAGAGCTGGAGTCGGTAACAGCTCCATGTCCAGAGACCTGAGAATCACCTTTCACCTATTCTACGAGTCTAAAGACTCAGAACTGTGACCCACGTGTGGAAGTTACAAGGAGAGATGAAAAGGGTGAGCTAAAATGTAGGGAACAATTTCTCTACATGGCAGACTTCCGATTTGATTCTCCAATCCACAGAAGTACTGCGTTTCCTGGTTTGGCTCCCTTTAACACTAGAGATCTCAGGCAGGGACCAGTTCAGACTCTCGGGGCCCCTCCCAACCGGCCCCCACTCCTGTGGGAAGACTCTGAACTCTGCAGCTGTGTTTCCAAGAAGCCCATCGGCCAGTGTCTCCGCCGGCTCCTTCATCAGGACGAGGTCGGGAGGGTTGCATCACGAGCAGGCATTCTGGGCCTCGCTCCTTTCAAGGGCAGAGGTCGTGCCCTGTGGCTAGCGCTCTTGCTGATCTCCACTTCTCCCCTGCGCGCTGCTTGCGCGCCGCGTCCTGCCCACAGTCCAGGCTCCCCGGCCCCTTGACCCTTCCCCTACCACAGGCTGGAAAGGAACTTCACCAGCTCTTCTGAGAATCTGCAGCTTGCAGGGCCGCCGCCGCCCCGACACCATCGGGCTCGTCTTTGTGGGGAGCAGCCCCGAGGTGCCAGCCAATCCCGGGAACCTTGGCCAGCGGGCTCCCTGTACTCACTGCTGCGAGACTGTCCTGGGTACCCCTTGCTCAGGAAGACCGGGTGCGCCTGGGTAGAGGGGCACTGCTTATGGAGGGGCGGCAGGAAACGCCCCGGCACTGACTGTCCCACAGTGGTCTGCTCGTTTGAGGCTCACACTGGGCCTCAGGTTTGATCTTCCGCAGCTTTAGCAACGAAGCGCGGAGGCTCAAAGAGGTCGAGAGCTTCCACCTCCAGGGTCCGGCAGCGAGGAGGTACAGGAGTAGGCTTCAAACCCTGGGCTTCGGGCCTATCTCCTGCAACGCTGCTCCCCAAGGAGGAGGAATCTGGGGCTGGGACCTGAGCTCCTCCGTCTGGCTTCGCTTGCCCGCGGCAGGTTTGGAAGCC